TATAATATACATAAATATATGAAAAATGCATGTGGGTACTCAAATGAAAGGTCTTGATGAGTGTAACATCAAGATGAGCTTATATCTTAAAAATATATATTATATATATGTATATATGAAAAATATATCAAAAATGCATGTGGGTACTTAAATGAAAGCTCTTGATGTTTATAACATCAAAATGAGCTTATATCTTAAAAAATGTCAATATTTAAGAAAGTACATTACAATTTAACAAAATTCATTATTTAATAATAATAATAGTCAGTAACAATCGAATAAGTAATTTAATTTAAAAAGATTAAATCGAATTTTTTTTATTTATATTCTTCCCTCTCCAATCACTGATCTACTTCATATACGCAAACCGTTCAAGAAGGTAATAGGCTGAAGTATACATAAAAAAAAAATAAAAAAAAAAAAGAAATAAAAAACGATAAGACTACCTACAAATCTGAAATGCAAATACATAGCGAAATTTTTTTGTCGGTAAGATCACAGAAGTCGCCGCTTGTAATTCAAATGTGTATTCTCGTCGTCGAGGATAAAAGACAGTACAATGGATGGTGGTAAACTAGAAGGTCCTTGGTCGCAGTTCTGCCATATTATTTTTTTTACAATTTTTTAAAACTCCGAATAAAAAGGATATAATGATAAAGAAGAAATCGATAAATTTTGTTTGCTTAAAAAAATAATTTTGAATTGAAGAAATAGAAGAAATATTAAAAAAATTGTTTTTTTTAATTTTAATTTAAATATTTAACATTTTAATAATTTTTAATTTTAATTTAAATATTTTAATACTTAATGAATAGCTAAAGTAAATCAGAGTGTACAATAAAGCAAGTTTATACTCACCAGCAAGAATCGAGTCGATGGTGCACCTGTAGATTGCTGAACGCGAGCAAAAGTCACGCGATATGAAGACGAGGTCTTCATGAGATGCTGGTAAAAACCATGCAACAAGCTCTGAATCCGGTTCGACGTCTTTAATAACTTCAAATATTGGATCACCTATCAAATTATTCAAAGATTTTTTTTTTAAGTTATCTATTAGTTTGTCTTTATTTATTTTTCTCAAGCTTTATTTTAGATAAATATATTATTTTAACTCACCCTTTACTTTTGTACCGATAAGATTTACTTGATCGCTATAACTTTGTACAATTCGTAAAAATCTTATCCAATTACATTGCCGTTTGTTGAGATTGTAGTTTGAAAATGATACTTCGTCGTAACAACCGTATTCACGTCTAATCTACATATTAGATTGGATAAAAAAAATTTTTTATGATCATTTTTTATTTTTTAAAACCGAAATTATCTATTTTTAGTTTTTAAAAATCATTTTTTTTGTTATGGCAAATTGAAAAGAAGAAATACTAATTTTTTTAACAATGTATATTACTTCCTTATAACTGTTTGAAAAATAAGTTATTAAAAAATTAATTTACTATTTTTTTCAAAAAAAGTGTGACGAAAAGTATTTAATTTAATTAATAAAATAAAAATAAAATGAAAAATTTGAAAGAAGAAATACTAATTTTTTAAATAATAAATATTTCTTCTTTATAACTGTTTGAAAAATTAGTTATTAAAAAAATTAATTTATTTTTTTTCAAAGTGTGACAAAAAATAAAAGTACCTAATTTCATTAATAATAAAGTAAAAATAAAATGAAGAATTTAAAAGAAGAAATCCTAATTTTTTAAATAATTTATATTTTTTCTTTACAACTGTTTGAATTTTTAAAATTAGTCACTGAAAAAAATTAATTTACTATTTTTAAAAAATTGTGAAAAAATTGTGAAAAAATCAGTATTTAATTTAATTAATTATAAAATAAAAATAAAATGAAAAAATTACACGGAAAGACAAGATTATACTGGATATAATCCCAGATTATACTGAGTGAAAAAAAATTTCAGATAGTAGCTAGTATAATCCAGATAACAATGAGTATAATCCAGATTACAATGAGTATAATCCAGATATTATTCAGTATAATCTGGATTATACTAGCTACCATCTGAAATAGCTAGTATAATCCAGATAACAATGAGTATAATCCAGATTACAATGAGTATAATCCAGATATTATTCAGTATAATCTGGATTATGCTAGCTACCATCTGAAATTTTTTTTCACCTCGGATGTCACTGAGTATAATCTGAGATGGTATCCAGTGTCATCTTGTTCTTTCCGTGTAGAAAGAAAAAACACTAATTTTTTTAACAATTAACATTTCTTCTTCATAGCTGCGTTTAAAAAATTTGTTATTAAGAAATTAATTAACTATTCTTTAAGAAAAAAGTGACAAAAAATTAAAGTATTTATTTTTATATAAATTAATTTATCTTTAGTAAAAATAAAATTATTTTTTTTATGAAAAATTGGAGATTGTAAAGAGGAAATACTAATTTTTTAATCAAATAATATTTCTATTTAATGTTTAAAAAAATTTTTTATTAATAAAGAAAATTTACTAACTTTTAAAACAAGTGTGACAAAAATAAAAGTATATAATTTAATTAATAAAATAAATAAATAAAACAAAATGAAAAATTGGAAAAGGAAAGAAGAAATGCTAATTTTTTAAACAATTAATATTTCTTCTTTATAACTGTTCAAAATTAATTAAAAATAATTTTTTATAAAATATTGATTGGAAAAAAATATTAAATTTTCTTAATAAATCTATACTTACAACAAAAATAATAATTTACCAAGAAAAAGTGACAAATAAAAATTTTAAAAGTTAAATAAGAATATAAAATATCTAATTCCACAATTTTTTATAAAAACACTAAAGCTCTAGGATCAAAATTAAATAAATAAATAATTGTTTGATAAAAAAAAAAATTACTTACATCATTATCATCAAGCAGCGAATAAAGATCAATTTTATCAAACCGAATAGACCCTTGAAACGGATAGATCAAAGTTTCCGAAGGAATAAAAACATTAGACCAAACAGAGATCCTAACATCAGCAGAAAAGGATCTTGCTTCTGTTTTAAAAATTTCCGAGCATGAATTTCTGTCGTGATCCGTCGCAAGAGCCAGGGAAAATTCCCTAGGAATCAGTACACAAGTTTCCATGATCTAAAAAAAAATCTTCTTCCCAAGCTCCATTAAATAAAAAAAAAAAAAAAAACCAAAATTTCTTCACAAATCACAGTAAATAAAATATAAATTAAAGTACTACACGGTGCTCGGCCCTCGGCAGACTGAAAAGGATTAGCCGACTGATCTTGACCTTGCGACGGGTTAGCAGCATTTGCTACCGAATGAGTAGCCAGCCCTACCCCTGTGAAAGTGCAGCTATTGGTGGTATTAGAGCTGATGGTTCTTTCTCCCACTTGATGCTCTGGCAATACAAGTGGATGCATAAAACGGTCTACTATCACTATCTGTTGAATGCGTTTGTCCAGCAGAAGGAACTCAGAAGGAAGCCAGCGGTTGTCCGTTGGTCATCATTATACTGTGTTGCTGTTTGCTGTTGGGTTGTCTTCTCCCATCTACTACACCGGTCTGTTAGTCTCTTTAAAACCACGTGGGCGACTCGCGGCACCTGTCTCTCCGCAATTAATCTCCGTCTCTCTCCAGCTTTTATCATCTTATATTTTATTATCCTCTTTGGTATATTCTCAGCAGCATCATCAGTATCTTCTCTTTGCTTCCGAAACGATTGGCTGCCAACCTGCTTTGGACAAGCTCAATACAAGCCGGTATTCTTCTCTCTTGTCCCTTTTCGCTTCAACACGTTATATCTTGTATACGCCTTGGCTTATATTCTTATATTCTTATATATTCTTGCTCCTCCAGGCCCCAGGCTCTCTTTTCTTCCACTCCAGCTTTAACTCTTGCTATACCTGTATGCCTCCTTCCATACCAGCGAATACTCACCTTGCTTATTGCTTCTTGCTTCTCACGTTCAAGATGTCTATTGCCTGCGTGTATTCATTCGACTATAAATACTCAATATTTTTAACAACGTGGTATGATAACTCTGCTACATATATTTAGCTACAGGCTTCATTACTATATTGCTCTTTATCTTTTTTAATAATTATTTTATTTTATTTATTATAAGATTTACTTTATCTTCATTTTTGACTTTAATTTATATCTTTAAAAATGTCAATAATTAAGAAATGACCTTGTATCTTGTAAACTAATGACATTTTTGAAGATATAAGCTCATCACGATGTTACATTCATCGAGACCTTTCATTTGAGTACCCATATCAATTTTTCATATATTTTATATATTATATATATGTATATATGGATATATGAAAAATATATCTAAAATGCATGTGAGTACTCAAATGAAAGCTCTTGATGAGTGTAACATTGGGATGAGATTATATCTTTGAAAAAGTCAATAGTTAAGAAATTACAGTGGAATTTAACATAATTAAGAAATGACCTTGTATTTTGTGAACTATTGACATTTTTTAAAATATAAGCTCATCCCGATGTTACATTCATCGAGACCTTTCATTTGAGTACCCATATCAATTTTTCATATATTTTATATATTTATATATATTATATATATATATAT